ATTTTTTTAAAGTACCACACCCAGGGTGGAGCCCAATGTGGGGCCTGAACTCACGACCCTGAGATCAAGACCTAAGCTGAGATTAAGAGTTGGATGCTTAACTGACTGAGCCACCCAGGTGCCCTGAACAAGATTGTTTTCTTAATTTCATTTTCAGATAGTCTGTTGCTGGTATATAGAAATGCAACTGATTTTTATATTTTGATCTGATATCCTGAAACTTTACTGAATTCATTTATTGTTTCTAACAAAATTTTGGAGGTGTCTTTAGGGTTTTTTACATGAAAGATCATGTCATCTGCCAACAGAGATAATTTTACTTCTTCCTTTCTGATTTGGATACCTTCTTTTTCTTATCTAATTGCTCTGGCTAGGACTTCTGAATCCTCTGTTGAATTAAAGTGGCATTCTTGTCTAGTTCCAGATCTTAGAGGAAAGGCTTTCAGTTTTCCATCATTGAGTATAATGTTAGTGGTGGGCTTTTCATATATGACCTTTAAGGTAAGTTCCTTCAATACCTTATTTCTTGAGAGTTTTTTGAATCATGGATGTGTGTTGAATTGTGTCAGATTCTTTTTTACATCTATTGAGATGATCATATGGTTTCTAACCTTCATTCTGTTAATGTGGTGTATCACGTTTTTAAAAATTTACTTGTGTTGAATTATCCTTTCATCCCAGGAATAAATCCCACTGAGTCATGGTGTGCAGTGTGCTCTTGAAGTTGGTTTACTAATATGTTGTTGATGGTTTTTTCACCTTTGTTCATCGGGGATATTGGCCTATAGTTTTCTTTTCTTATGGTGTCTTTGTCTGACTTTGGTATCAGAGTCATACTGCACTCATAAAACAAATTTGTTAGTATTTCCTATTTATTTTTTTGGAAAAGTGAAAGGATCAGTGTTCATAATTTAAATGTTTGGTAGAATTCACCTGTGAAGCCATCTGGTGTTAGGCTTTTATTTCTGGGCTACTTTTTTAAAAAAATTCTAGTTAGTTGATATACAGTTCAATATTGGTTTCAGGAGAAGAGTTCAGTGGTTCCCCATTTACATAAAACACCCAGTGCTCATCATAACACGTGCTCTCCTTAATACCTATTGCCCACCTATCCCATCTCCCACCCACTTCCCTCCATCAACCCTGTTTGTTCTCTATAGTTAAGAGTCTCTCATGATTGGGGCGCCTGGGTGGCTCAGTCATTAAGTGTCTGCCTTCAGCTCAGGTCATGGCCCCAGAGTCCTGGGATCAAGCCCCACATCAGGCTCCCTGCTTGGGGGGAAGCCCGCTTCCTCTCCCACTCCCCCCGCTTGTGTTCCCTCTCTCGCTATGTCTCTCTCTGTCAAATAAATAAATAAAATCTTTAAAAAATTAAAAATTAAAAAAAAGTCTCTCATGATTTGTTTCCCTCTCTCTCTCTTTTCCTCCTCCCAAATGTCCATCCATTTTGTTTCTTAAATTCCACATATGAGTGAAATCATATAGGATTTGTCTTTCTTTGACTGACTTATTTTCCTTAACATAATACACTCTAGCTCCATCCACGTCATTGCAAATGGCAAGAATTCATTCTTTTTGATGGCTGAGTAGTTAATTGTATATATATACCACATCTTTATCCATTCATCAGTTGATGAGCATTTGGGCTCTTTCCATAGTTTGGCTATTTTTGGTAATGCTGCTATAAACATCAGGCTGCATGTACTCCTTTGAATGTGTATTTTTGTATCCTTTGGGTAAATACCTAGTAGTGCAATTGCTGGATCATAGGGTAGTTCTATTTTTAGATTTTTGAGGAACAACCATACTGTTCTCCAGAGTGGCTGCAACAGTTTACATTCCCACCAACAGTGTAAGAGAGTTCCTCTTTCTCCACATCCTCACCAACACCTGTTGTTTTCTGTGTTATTAATTTTAGCCATTCTGACAGGTATGAGGTGATATCTCATTGTGGTTTTGATTTGTATTTCCTTGATGATGAGTGATGTTGAACACCTTTCCTTTTTTGGGGGGAGGAGCTGCCTGTAATGTTTTTTAATTTAAATTCAATTAGCCAACATATAGTACATTATTAGTTTCTGATGTAGTGTTCAATAATTTACCTTTTCATGTGTCTGTTAGCCATATGGATGTCATCTTTGGAAAATGTCTATTCATATCTTCTGCCCATTTCTTAACTGGATTATTTGTTTTTTGGGTGTTGAGTTTAATAAGTTCTTTATAGATTGGATACCAACACTTTATCAGATATGTCTCTTGCAAATATCTCCTCTGGGATACTTTTGATTACTGTTTCAATCTCCTCATTTGTAATTGGTTTCTTCAGGTTTTCTATTTCTTCTTGATTCAGTTTTGGTAGTGTGTATGTTTCTAGGAATTTATCTATTTCTTCTAGGTTGTCCGCTTTGGTGGCATATAATTGTTTGTTATAGTCCTTTGTGATCTTTTTTTATTTCTGTGGCATCAGTTGTAATGTCTTTTCTTTCATATCCGATTTTATTTATTTGAGTCTTTCTCTTTTTTTCATGGCCAGTCTAGCTAAAACTTTGTCAATTTTGTTCATCCTTTAAAAAAAACCTAACTCTTCTATCAGTTTTTTTCTCCCTCCCCCCCCCCCCCGCCCCCGCCACAATTCCTTAGAGCCTTGTATGGTGTTTATACATTTTTTTTCAATTAGCCAACATTAGTTTTTGATGTAGTGTTCAATGATTCATCAGTTGCATATAACACCCAGTGCTCCTCACAACACATGCCCTCCTTAATACCCATCACCCAGGGTGTTTGTGCATTTGAAGAAGCAGTCGCCTCTTCCAGTCTTTACAGTCTGCTTTTGGCAGGAAATGCCCTTCACCAGTCACCATGGCTGGAGATTCTGGGTAGGCCATTTAGCAGGGTTCATCAGTGGACTTGCTGTCTGGGTCCATGGATGTGTGGACCATTTGCCAGGGTCTGCAGGTGGGTCCACTTCCAGGTTCATGAACAGACGGGCCAGGTTGTGGGCTTGATAAAGCCTCTTTGAAGTAAAGCAAGGGTAGAATGTGAATGGCAAGAGGAAGACATAGCCTGGATTGCAGATGTGCAGGAACTGAATGCTACTTGAATGTAGTTACATTTGAAATAGGCCTTACAGGTTAAGGTAGAACTAGCCATGTTTAAATCAAGCAGGGATATGATTAAATTTGCAATTGAGAGCAGTCCAAATGATGGCAGAGGGGCCATGCCAGTGGTGTGCTGGTAAATGTTTAATACCTAACATTACAAGAAGTGAAAAAAGCCATAGATCTCAAATTTGTAGTGATTATCAATTTTTGTAGTATGAATACCACCACCGTTGTCAATAAAAGCCACCAACATCATGGCAGCTGCTTTACAAACTACCTAAAAATTTAACAAAGGGCTGTTGTGAATTTGTACATGCTAATTCCAGGACACCAACCAGCTGTTCCATGTTTTTCACCCCAACATGGTGTTATGATTGGCACAAATAGTTTTTGTTTTGTTTTGTTTTTCTATTAGCAAAGAACAATCAGAGGAAAAGATGCATTTTAAAAAACAAAGACCCAGCAGGCTCCCATTTGAATATAGGTCTCCTCTTCCGTGAATAAGAATTTTACCAGGTAGGAGGAGCTCCTTGAGTTCCCATAAATGACCTGGCATCACCTCCCTAAATTCTTCTGGAAATGCAACTCACATCTCTGCTCACCAAAAATGAATGGCCAGTGTGAAATAACCTCATCATCTCCCAAACTTTTACTCTGATATTGGATGTGATTTGAGGCCAGTCTCACAGGCATGGCAGCCCTCATCTGGTCCAAGTTTAAGGTATTCTTGGAGCCCATTCTTAGAATACTGCCTATGACAATGGCCTGTGGTCATGGGTTTCTGGTGTTAGTTGCAGGAAGGAGATGCTATCTTGACTTTTCTCTTCCAAAAGCTTAAGTCCAGGATTTTGCTGCTTGAGCTAGCTCTGCAACTGCAAAGGATATTCTTGATCTGGTAGGTCCTCACTTAGGTGACCTTACATTTCTCTAAAGTCCCTTCCTCATGGAGTTTTTCCAATGGACTTCATGATATTGTTTCACTTGTAGAGGGGGGATGAGAATTAAGTCAATATTATTGGAATAATTAATAAGTAAGTATCCAAGGTGTGCTGGATATAATTCCATCTATGTATTTGCAACCTCATGTATGGCTAGAAAGTCTTTATGAAAAAGGTGCTATTATTTTTCGCTACCTATCTCTTCTCCCTCTCCATCTCCCCCTCCTCCTCTTCCTTCTCCTTCTCCTTCTCCTCCTTCTCCTTCTCCTTCTCCTTCTCCTTCTCCTTCTTCTTCTTCTTCTTCTTCTTCTTCGACAGGGAAATTGGGGTTTAGAAATACTTAATCACCTTCTGCAAGGTATACACCTAGCATGTTGCAGGACCATCAAGTAACCCCAGATTATAACCAATTTGGGTATAAATTATTCTACATCAAGTTCCTGCCCTGGTTTCATCCTCAGATTTAATTCTAGGCACCTCCTTCATGGAGGCACAATATGCCAGGATTCCCCTCAAAGAGACTGAATGAAGAACCAAAATAAAGGCTCTCAGGAAATGTCATTTTTCCTGAGATAAACAGTTTCTTTGCAAAGGATGGCTGGCTGGGAACCAAGCTTAACTTCTAGGTCTTTCATGTCCATCTAGCATAAATGGAGCTTTGGACCTTAATCCAAGTAATTCACATTTGATTTTCTTCCTGATCTGAATATCTAACATGTACACCCTTTTGGATGCCCTGCAGCCCACTCAGATCTTGTGTTTAAAAAGTCTTTGTTGCTACATAATTTTCCTAAGGCTCCTTTAACTCCCTAATTCACCTTTCACATGTCAGTGCATTTTTGCTGTCTCAATTTCCTACTAAATATAACAACAAGTGGTCCAGCTTGTCCCCTGTGGGGGACCTCCCAATGCTCACATTGTGTGACAACTGAACAGTTTCTTGTTGCGGTTGTTTTTGAAGGTTTTGAGATCCACCATGCAGGAGGAGCTGGAGATAGCACAGAAAAAACCTTCCATAACTGACTTGTTCCACACACCCACCCTGCGCAGAAGGATCTGTTTATTGTCCTTTGTGAGGTAGGCTTCACACTATGCATAAAGAATATTAAAGTAGTGGCTGGGCGCCTGGGTGGCTCAGTTGGTTAAGCGACTGCCTTCGGCTCAGGTCACGATCCTGGAGTCCCTGGATTGAGTCCCGCATCGGGCTCCCTGCTCAGCAGGGAGTCTGCTTCTCCCTCTGACCCTCCCCCCTCTCATGCTCTCTCTCTCATTCTCTCTCTCAAATAAATAAATAAAATCTTTAAAAAAAAAGAATATTAAAGTAGTGGAGGCATGAATCTAATCCTATCAAAGGATACAACATGTTGTAGGGACAGATTTGGAGATAAAACATAAGGAAGACAGAAAGATAATTGCTTTTTTTAGTTACAGAAAGACTGACCCAGAACTAATTGTGCAATGAGTTTTGTTTATTATGTCACCTTACCAGGCTCAGCATCTGGAAATGGAGGCTGTGAACTTCAATCACAGTAGAGATTTTAGCTTTAAGTTTCTTCACTTATTTGTTTCCACTTCGATTGAGATAAAATTACAAACATTTGGGGTGCCTGGCTGGCTCAGTCAGAAGAGCATGTGACTCTCGATCTTAGGGTTGTGAGTTTGAGCCCCACCTTGGGTGTAGAGATCACTTAAATAAATTTAAAAAAAAATTTTAAGTGTACCAATGTATACAGCTAAATGAATATTTGCATATGTAAATATGCAACCGTCACCCAAATCTGGATATAGAAAAAATTCTAAAACCCTAGAGGACCTCATTATGTATTCTTTTTTAAAAAAATATTTTATTTATTTATTTGAGAGAGAGAGAGCACAAACAGGGTGAGGAGCAGAAGGAGAAGCAGACTCCCCGCTGAGTATGGAGCCTGATGCTGGGCTCGATCCTGGGACTCCAGGATCATGACCTGAGCCGAAGGCAGATGCTTAACTGAATGAGCCATCCAGGCACCCCCCTCATTATGTATTCTTAAGAACAATAACCCCACCCACCAAAAAAGTAACCATTATGACCTCCATTATTATGCAATATTTTATGACAGTTTTTAAATCATCACCATGTAGAACATTCTACAAAACAGACCATGCTTTTTGTACTGGAACACCAACCACTGGCTGCCTGTCTGATAATATTTATGATTGTTGTTTGTAGAACCTAGGGTCTAAACGTAATGACATCTTTCTTTCTTCTTTTGTTCACCACAGATTTGCAACCTACATGCCCTTTTTTGGCCTGATTCTCCACCTCCAGCATATCGGGAACAATGTTTTCCTGTCCCAGGTTCTCTTTAGCATGGTCAACCTCCTCGCCAATTACGTTGCACTTTTGGCACTGAATCATATGGGCCGTCGAGTAAGCCAGATGATTTTCATGTCTGTACTTGGAGTCTCCATTCTGATCACCACATTTCTGCCTGAAGGTGAGAAAAGAGCACAGGTTGAAGAAAGGAAATGTATCAGGGACTTGGGGACTGGGCTCACACACGGGAAGGGAGAGTATGGTTCTAATGATCCCCCAAAACTGATCTGAAGATTTAGGACAGATTCTACGATTAAGCAGCTGGGAAAGAGTCAAAGCCCAGTAAAATTTGGTTCAGACATGGCTATCCTCATCACATCTGAGAAGTATCTGGTGTCATATCTTTCTAAAAGTTTCTCTAGGAGAGCAATTGATCACTTGCCCTTTTGGCTTTGACCAATCACACTTGTAACTGTAAATGACAGTATTTTGTCCAATATATATTAATTGTATCTCATATGAGAACACAATACCCTCATTTCCTCTCTCTGGTTTCTTTCTTATTACTACAGCTTCAGTGACAATTTACTGCCTGATGTCTACATATATCCACTTGTGTGTCTTGTATTAGGTCACCATAATTGCAATTGTGGTTTAGGGAAGACTTTTTGATTTCAAGAAAATAAAAATATCTTGTCTTCAAGCAAAGAAGTATGCAATTGGAACAAGGAGTGAGCAGTTAAAGCCTCTCTTAGAATCAGTTTTACTAAATTAAATGATCCTATGTAATGGATAGGAGAACTGAGGTGGTCCTGGGCTTCGCCTAACTCCCAGCATAGCTGTGTATCTTACAGGATCCCAGATTGGTAGCTCTGCCCTCATCTTGGATGTCAGCAATGATGTTTGCTTCTTTACCGCGGAGCGTATTCCAATGTTGTAACGCTCTCGTGAGATTTTTTTTTTTTTTTTATTGAGTAGAAAACGGACTCAGATTTCCTTTCAGAGGTTTCCAAAGTCCAACAATTGTTCCTGTAATACAGGTCTTTATTCTTCAATCTTCAAATATTACTGTAGATCAAGCTACTTATCCATAGACAATGGTTTTATTACTCTCTGCCACAGTACTAGCCCCAAGTCAATTTCATGTATGCATCCAGGTTTTAAACTTCTCAAGGACATCGATGAGTTTTACATCCCTTGGTAATTGTTCATATGGAGTCTTACTTTATACATGAAAGGCAGAGGAGACACTGGACAAAATAAATGAAAGCAAACTCACATTCCCCTCTCAGTCTTTGGCAAATTTCTGATGTGTAAGGGAGAGGTAATAAAATGACTCGGGTTTTTTATTCTGTTTAAGCTGTAACAGTAAGCTCAGCCACTAGTCACTATACATTCTCTGCCTCTCCGCACTTTCTCTACAATGTATTTAACACATGCAAACATCTCCAACTGTGTCTTCTTCACTTGTAATTTGGTGGATGGTGAATCTCACTGTCTTCCTCTCCAGAAATGCAGACCCTGCGTGTTACTTTGTCAACTTTGGGAGTAGGAGCTTCTTCTGCTGCAATCATGTGTTCTTCTGCCCATGGAAATGAACTAATCCCCACCATAATCAGGTACAAATCACATGGGAGCTCTAGCAGGGTCAAAATAGGCCTTTCCCAGCTAATTAACATTCATAGTGGGAAGAACACTGATGAGTTATCAAAAGCATCAATTATAATAGTATTAATAGTAACAAAAATTACAGCCAAAATTTGTTAAAATCTGACTTTGGCAAAGCACTGTGTTCTTTTTTTAACATATCACCTCACATAATCTATAGAACCACTCAATGGTAGATGCTATGGATAAGAGTATTTTTTAAATAATGAAAGTATGTCTTAGTGCACTTGCACACTTGAAAAAAATTGCCAGCAAATAAAAGAGCATATTTGAAATGTAAGAGTATATTGTCAACCTTCATGTATCTAACTAAACACTGTTGTGATATCTTCTATAATCAAAGCAAAATAATAAATCACAAATTACCTGCGTGGATTTATACCAAATTATTTTTGTACTGTTTGTACCCCAAGGGCAACAGCCACAGGAATCCTGGGAATTGCTGGTAATATTGGAGCGGCCCTGGCTCCCCTCTTGATGATCCTAACCGTGTATTCTCCCCACCTGCCCTGGATCATGTATGGAGTCTTCCCCATCCTCTCTGGTCTTGTTGTTCTCCTCCTTCCTGAAACTAGGAATCAGCCTCTGCCTGACTCCATCCAGGATGTGGAAAAAGAGTGAGTAAACCCTCTGGCTGCTCCTTAAGGGAGCTGTGTGCTCTAGATCTGTGATGAGAAGGCAAGACACCATTCGGGATCACTGTCCCCTGGGAAAGATTTATGAATTTTTTTTTTAAGATTTTATTTATTTATTTGACAGAGAGAGACAGCGAGAGCAGGAACACAAGCAGGGGGAGTGGGAGAGGGAGAAGCAAGCTTCCCGCCGAGCAGGGAGCCCGATGTGGGACTCGATCCCAGGACCCTGGGATCATGACCTGAGCCGAAGGCAGACGCTTAACAACTGAGCCACCCAGGCGCCCAAGATTTATGAATTTTTAAAAAATGTTTTATTTATTCATTTGAGAGAGAGAGAGAGAGCACAAGCAGGAAGAGAGGCAGAGGGAGAGAGAGAAGCAGACACCCTGCCGAGCCAGGAGCCCGACGTGGGGCTCGATCCCAGGACTCCAAGATCATGACCTGAGCTGAAGGCAGACGCTTAATGACTGAGCCACCCAGGCACCTCTATGAATTTTTTTTAAGTGAGTTATATGCCCAATGTGCGGCTTGAACTCATGACCCCAAGACCAAGTCACCTGCCCTACCAACCGAGCCAGCCAACTGCCCCTCCCAGAGAAAGATTTAGACTTAGACACATGCCATGTGGTCAGTGCCTTTGGTTTAGCTACAGCCTCAACTCTCCTCACACTGACCTCCGACTCCCCCGCGGCTCCCCAGGTCACACAGACTGGCTCTGCCCTGCCTGCATTAGTAAGTTAGTGGTGCAGGGACCAAAATTAGGTGCCTAAGGGTGACAAACACACCCTGAAGGTATTTCACAGACACACACAGATCCAGACACCAGACTCTCATCCCTCAGACCCTGGCAGCCCTCACCTGGGGAGTAGCTCCCCAGAGTGTCTGAGGACTGCCCTGGTCACTGAAGAATCTGAACGGGATCAGGGAGAGAACAGGAGCCCCTCCCACAGATGACCATGCATCTCAGGGGAAGAGTCCCATTGGGCTGCCCGTGAGATCCAGACTGGCTGGTTTCCGCTGGGAATGCAACTGTTGAGAAAAGAGGGAAAGGAGGAGTAAATATAGGTTTGTTTGTTTGTTTTACACAGAACAAGAAATTTTATTATCTTGAATGCTGGTGCATTCAAACAAATAACAAGCTTAATCAGAAGAGGAGGCAGAGGGAAACTTCACATACGGAGGTGGATTTCTGGGCAGGTTTAAAACCTTCAAAAGTTGAAGGCATAATTGTTCAGGCTTTTTTCAGATGGAAGGCTTCTCTTTTACTTGACATTTTCACTTTAACAGTTGTTATGTTATGAAGTTGAACCAAAGTCTTTCACCTTTAAGGTTAAATGGAAAACAGAGTTGAGTAAAACAATTTCTCTAGTATATTAAGAGTGTTAGAAAGAGTTTGTTTTCTTTGTTCTTTCATATACGTGGTAATGTCTAACTTTGAAATTTTCTTACAGATGTCTTAATTTTTGAGTTTTTAAAAATGGTAAGACCATGAATTTTCTTGATTTATAGATCATAGTAGCTTCATAAATGACCAAGACACATGTACAAACAAAATTTCAGATGCTCTCGAAAACATATTTTGAGATATAGCACATGTGATACCTATTTCTTTTTGGGTTTGCTTATCCTTTTGGTATACTGAAGAATACCCAATTTAAAATACAGGTATTTTTTGGGCATGGAGCCTACCAAAAAAAAAAAAAAAAGGAAGGAAGGAAGGAAAGAAGAAAAGAAAGAAAAAGGGGGGCTGCCTGGGTGGTTTAGTCAGTTAAATATCCGACTCTCCATCTCAGCTCAGGTCTTGATCTCAGGGTCATGAGTTTAAGCCCCGCATTGGGCTCCATGCTGAGCATGGAGTCTACTCAAAAAGAAAAAAAAAAAAGGCATTTTTAAATGATCAAGAATTGGAAAGGATTTTTAAACTTTTGTATACTGCCTTTGCCTCTTCCAAATCCCTTGGGCATCCAGATCCCTTGGCCTCCAAAGGTGAGAGTGGGAGTTGAAACTATGGAAGCTGCCTTCCCAGAATTTACTCAGATTCTTGGGGCAGGGGTCAAGAATCCATTTGCTCTAAAGAATGCAGGACATACATGTTGATTTGACGTCTCTCATTTTTGTGCTTGTTTTTTGGTCTCATTGTATTTTTACCAGGAGAGAAGCCCCAAGAAAAGCAAAGAAGGAAGATACCTTCATGAAAGTGACACAGTTTTAAGGAGTTCCAAGAACGAACTGCTAATCAAAGAGCAAGATAGAGGAAGGAAAATCAGGATCATCCCCAGATATTGGAAAGATCTGTAAAATAAATAAAATAAAGATATAATGGAATCATGGATCCTATTTACAATTGCAGTACTAAGTGACTATGAAATATCTACAATTAATCATAATGAGAAGTTTGAGAAAAGTCGTAATACTTAAAAATATTTTTTTATTGGGGCACCTGGGTGGCTCAGTCGGTTAAGCGACTGCCTTCAGCTCAGGTCATGATCCCAGGGTCCTGGAATTGAGCTCTACATCGGGCTCCCTGCTCGGCGGGGAGCCTGCTTCTCCCTCTCCCACTCCCCCTGCTTGTGTTCCCTCTCTCACTGTGTCTCTCTCTCTGTCAATTAAATAAATAAATGAAAAAAATATTTTTTTATTCCTGAAGTCTCATTGATATACAATGTTATATTAGTTTCAGTTACACCACATAGTGATTTGACAATTCTATACATTAAAAGTCATAACATTTTAAAAGGAATCATAGTAAAATATTTGTAAAATTGTAGATCTCTAGCATGTTTCTGGATAGAAAGGTAGAATAGTATTTAAAAACTTTGATTCTGCCCCAATTAATTGGCAGAGTAATTGATGGAGTAATTACAATGGAAAACTCCATTCTTTTGGGACAACTCAAAAAAGAGTTCCAAATGTATCTACAAATTAGTGATAGACAAAATTATTCAAAAAAATGAGGCTCATGGAGGGAGGGTGGGGCAGGTTTTTGGGGCAGCATATGCTGGAATGAGAGGCAATAGGTTTAAAACATGAATAGCAGATGCATTTACAAATCCAAAGAAGTCCAGAATGATATGGTAGCATGTTTGACACTTAAAGTTTAATAATTAGGGCATCATAAATCACTGGTTGAAATAAATGATTACATAATAAGTACCATTAACTGACTTTATAAATAAATGCCTAATAATTTAACTTAATTCTCTAAACCAAAAAAAAACTCCATGTGATTAAAAAGATGTATAGAACAATTAAACCATGTTATTCAATTCAAAACCTGGCTACAAAATCTTGGGATTACAAAAGTGTTCCGCATAGTAAAGCAAATGCCAGTTATGTAAGTAGAGGTAGATTGGACTACTTATTTAAAACCTCTCTTGGACCAGCTCTAGAGAGAGGAGAAATAGGAGAAATCTAGAATAATATTCATAAAAATGATAAAAGCTGTTAACCTTTAGTAGTGTACCTTTATGAGATTTTTATTTTCTTTTTTTATAAGTCTCGTGTTCTAAGTTTAAAAAGGATAATGCAACATTTTAAAATATTATAAGGATTCGTCAAAAATAAATCGCAGGGGCACCTGGGTGACTCAGTCGGTTAAGTGTCTGACTCTTGATTTCAGCTCAGGTCATGATCTCAGGGTCGTGAGATAGAGCCCTGCATTGGGCTCCGAGTTAGGTGTGGAGCCTACTTAAGATTCTCCCTCTCCTTTTGCCTCCCCTAAAAAAATTGCAAAAGACAAATTAAAAATTTTCAAAATGGCTCTATATTAATATGTGTATCTAATAAATACTCATGAAAAGAATATATAATTCAATATTAAATAGTCAAAAGGCAGGAACATATAATTTTCAAAAGAAAAAAGTCTTATAATAATGCAAAACTGTACAAAACCACTGGAATTTAAAGACATTCAAACTAAAATAAAATACCAACTTTTATTTCCAAAAGACCAAAGATCTGTAAATAGAAATTTGTTAATTGATGGCAGGATTATAAAATAACACATGCTATAGAACTGCTTAAAACACTGGATGGTGTCATTATAAAGAGCGCTAAAAATCTTTAATTAATTCAGCAATCATTTATTCAGTATATAACAGTTACCAAGCAGTATGCTGGGAACCTTGGATACAAAGAGGAAAAGAGGGGCACCTGGATTGCTCAGTTGGTTAAGCATCAGACTCTTGGTTTTGGCTCTGTTGGTGATCTTAGGGTCATGAGACTGAACCCAGCGTTGGGCTCCGTGATGGGCATGGAACCTGCTTAAGATTCCCTTTCTCCCTCTGCCCCTCACCCCCTCAAACAAAAAAGACATGATCATGATATCAAAAATATAAAAAAGGAAGGAAACTTGATAAGTGAATGAAGATAAATTGCTATCAGCAGAAAAAGGATTATTTTATGAGATGTTTTATGTAGACCTCGTGGTAACCACAAAGCAAAAATCTAGAGCAGAGACACAAAACATAAATAGAAGGGGAGACGGAGCAAATCACCATGGAAAACCACCAACTTACTAAAATAGACAAAAACAAGAAAAAGAAACAAGGGAGAAACAAAATAACCAGAAAGGAAAAGATGAAATGGCAATAGTAAATTCTTAACTATTGATAATTACCCTAGATGAAATGGATTGAACTCACAAATCAAAAGGCACAGAGTGGCTGAATGGATTAAAAAAAATAATACCCTAATATATACTGCCTGCAGGAGAATGAAAGTGTGGAAGATGATATTCCGAGCAAGTGGAAATGAGAAGACAGGTATAGCCACACTTACATCAGACAAAATAGACTTCAAGCCAAAAAGGTAAAAAAAGACTAAAAAAACATTATTATATGATATCAAAGGGATCAATACATCAAGAAGATATAATAATCATAAATATATATGCTCCAACACCTAAGCATTGAAATATATTAAGCAATTAATAACAGATCTTAAGGGAGAAACAGACAACAATACAGTAACTACAGAAGATTTCAATAACCCACTATCAGCAATAGATAGATCAGCCAGACAGAAAATCAACAAGAAAATATTGGAATTGAACCACACTCTACAACAAATGGACTTGGTAGACTAGAACATGCCACTCAACAGCAGCAGAATACATCCCTTTCACCCAACATTCAAAGATGTGCAGTCTCATACTTTTCTCATTTCTTTAAATTATTGAATATCTAAATGTTTAGATATAAACAAAGCAATTAAAAATTTCATGGTTTAAATCTCTCAAACAAGCCAGACCCCACCTTCACTCCATTGCTGGGACAAGACCCATGCTGGTGCCCTTGTAGAAACAAGTTTTAAAACACACTGGTGAGGGTGACTCAGGGAATGGACATGGGCTTCTGGGACTCAGACAATTACCTTAGTGATCACAGTTTTGTGCCAATTAAACACTAGTCTGAGCCTAGACAAACCTACGCAGCATCGGTTCCTTGAATCCTTTCTCTGCATAGCTAGTGCAATAGTCCAAATTCCTTTATTCCCCGAGAGACCAGTAATCGTATTTGCCTAATTATTTGCCTAATAATTAATAACACCCTCTTTTGATGTCAAAAGTATCCCACTGAGGATGAAAACTTTATGGTCACTCTATATATTCTTGACTAGAAAGAGGCTACGTATCAGAGTTTGGAAAAAGAAATCATTAGCAATGCATTCAAGCCTTTTGATGATGATTAAAAATTTTATTATGAACCCTAATCTGAGACACTGACCTTGAGTCATAAACAATTTCATCCAGATTATTATCTGCCAAACCTCCTTTAGGATCATAGAAACAATAAATAATTGGGTAAAGAGAAGGAAATAATGAGCCATGCTCACTGTCACAGACTAAAAACTGTTTACTGGAGACTGCATAATATCTGTAACAAAAGCCCTTCCCTATTCCTACACAATTTTAAAAGGACTCTCAAGATGTCAGTCTTCCCAACTCGATCTATAGATCCAATGCATCAAAATCAAAATCTATCCAAATTATTTTGTAAATATCAAATAATTCTAAAGTTTATATGGAGAGGCAAAAGAGAGTCCTCAAAAAATTAAAAATAAAACTACCACATGATCCAAAAATTCTACTTCTGGGTATATATCTGAAGGAAACAAAACCACTATGTTGAAGAGGTATCTGTACCCCCATGTTTATTGAAGCATTATTTATAATAGTCAAAACATGGGAACAACCTAAGTGTCTATTGATGGATGAACGGTTAAACAAGTTGAATGGAATACCATTCAGCCAGAAAAAAGAAGGAAACCCTGCCATTTGTAACAACATAAATGGACGTTGAGAGCATTATGTTGAGTGAAATAAGTCAGACAGGGAAAGACAAATACTGTATGATATCACATAATGTGGGTGCTAAACAAAACAAAACAAAACAAAACAAAAAAAGACACCCATAGAAAAAGAAATCAAATTTGTGGTTACCAGATGAGGAGCAGTGAGAGGGATTGGATGGAGGTGGTCAAACGAAACAATTTCCAGTTATAGGATAAATAAGTACTGAGGAATAAATACGTACAACAGGATGACTATGGTTAACATTGCTATATGATATATTTGAAAGTTGCTAAGAAAATAGATCCTAAAAGTTCTCATCACAAGAAAAAATTTTTTTTCTTTTTGTATCTGTATGTAATGATTGCTGTTAAATAAATTTTTGTGGTAATCATTTCACAATATTTGTAATTCAAATCTTTAGCTATATACCTTAAACTTATACAGTGCTGTATGTCAATTATATCTCAATAAAACTAGGAAAAAAATATGCACCAATCATCATAGTACCTAAATATCTTAAGCAAATACTAACAGATATAAAGGGAGAAGTAGACAACAATATAATAATAGTAGGGGATTTAAATACACTCATTTTCTTTTTTTTAAGATTTTATTTATTTGTTTGACAGAGAGAGACACAGTGAGAGAGGGAACACAAGCAGGGGGAGTGGGAGAGGGAGAAGCAAGTTTCCCGCTGAGCAGGGAGCCCGATGTGAGGATCGATCCCAGGACCCTGGGATCATGACCTGAGCCGAAGGCAGATGCTTAATGACTGAGCCACCCAGGCACCCCTTATATACCCCATTTTCAACAATGGATTGATCATCCAGATAGAAAATGAATAAGGAAATAATAAACTTAGAGTATACTTTATACTAAATGGACCTAAGTGTTCTATAGACATATGGAGAACATCCCAACAACAGCAGCAGAAAACACATTCTTCTCAAGCACAGATGGAATGCTCTCCAGTATAGATCACATGTTAAGACACAAAACAAGTGTTTCCACCAGCTCGCCTTCCTCATTTCCTGCTCACTGCAGTTCTTGGCTAGACTTTCTCTCATGACTGTCTTTGCAAACAGTGTTATGCTCAGTAAGTCAACACTTTTGGCCTTGTACACTTTCCAAGCCTTGACTCTGACTTTGACATCCCGCCTTTGTTTGAACTTCAAATCCTGTTTGTGTTTTATTTCAGTTGTA